AAAAAAAAAAAAAAAAAAAAAATAATAATAATAATAATAATAATAATAATAATAATAATAATAATAATAATAATAATAATAATAATAATAATAAATAATAATAATAATAAATAACACTTTAAAATGAAGAAATAATTCGTCATTGATGTGTAAAAAAAAAAACACGATTCAGAAAATTTCATAAACTGCTGCCCGCGCCTGGTGGCGCTTCAGTCTTGGCATTGAGTTTTGCTCCTTTGCCGTTTTGGTCTAAGCCTATTGCCATTTTGGTCAAAGCCTATTGCCGTTTTGGTAGCTGACATTGCCGTTTTGGTTTTTTGCCGTTTTGTCCAGAAACCCTAATCCTGCCAGCGGTTTCAGAAGAGATAGGTAAAATTACATCGGGGCGATTAGAAGAATAAATATTTAGATACTTATAGTCAATTGTGATGTCATCACTGCAACTCCTGTTTTTTTCCTATCCCAATGACAAATTAGTACACGGTTTGCTCGATCTTTTTTAGGTTCGTATGAAAAAGGCCAATTCAATCACCATATCGTGCACCACGATAAATTCTAGATTAGTGTTTTTACACCTAGAACTACGATGCGTGTCTGTGGAAAGAGAGAGCAAACACTCAAGCATTTTTTTCTTGTATTAATCTAACCTTCGTATAATAATTTCCACATAGTGTATGATACCATTGGCGATCTGAGGAGGTCAGGGTTGTCCTGACCCCCCCCCCCCCTTTGGGCAAAAAGAAAATTAAATAAATAAATTAATAAATTAATAAACTAATTAATTAATTAAATAAATAAATAAATTCTAGACTTACCTTTGGAGAGCCCATGAGCTGAAATTGTTTTTGTTACAATGGGAAAATTGGAAGTCGGAAAAGCTCATTTCCCGCCATCTAGGAATCAAAATTTTCCCGGGGGAGGACTCTAGACCCTAAGTTTTCTTTGCAGTTCATCGATTTATGGAAAAAAGAATATGTGTGCAACTACTCAATTTTTTCTATGTATATACACACATAATAGGCCTATTTACTGTAATAAGAAGAGAAAGCGTACCTGACCGTTTGCAAGAGGGGGGAATTTTGAAGACTTTAAAGTCAATAAAAGACACCTTTAGGGAAAGCTCATTTACCGCCATCTAGGCATAAAAGTTTTCCAGGGGAGAACCCCCACACCCCCCTTTCTCTTTGGGGTTTATCGATTCATGGAAAATAGGCCTACATATGCAACTACTGTACTCAATACTTTTTATGTATGAATACACACATAATAGGTCTATTTAATGTAACAAGAATAAGAATGTTTAACTGACTGTTTTCAAGAGGTGGAAAACCTTGAATTTTGAAGAACTTAAAAGTCATTAAAAGACACCTCAGAAGTCGGGAAATCTCATTTCTTGCCATCTGAGAATCAAAACCCCCTTTTCATTTTCTTTTTTTTTGAAACATTTTGAATCCCCTCCCCCCTTATATTTGGACTTAGGATATGCAACTATTCTAATTGCTTAGTACTATATTCAAAATAAATAACATTTCAGGAAAAGTTACTTTACTTCACAAGTAGTCGATAGACCTGATGCTTTTATTTATTTACAATTAAAACAGTTATAATTTTAATTGTTCCCCATTCAAAATGTGAGTAATGTATTACAAAACATGTTAAATTCTTGTCAGTGTAATAATTAACATGAAATATACATAATAAAATTACCTGCATTCTGCCAGAATTTCACAAGATCATCTGCACCTCCTGTAGAAACATTAAGAGATTGACTTAATTCCGCTGATAAAAAATCAACCGATTTTTTATTTACTATTACTATTAAATTTTATCTTCTTATTTGTTATTTTATTTCATATTTACATAATGTGTATTATTATTCAATCCTATACTTATAATTCATCAAATAAATTTACAAATAAAACAAAGTACTAAAATGTTTTCAAGTGGAAAAAGAATGAAAAGGACCTGAAACTGTAAGGAGATTGTAAAATGGAGGCCTGAATGTAGTAAAAACCTTCAAAAAATAATACACATGACAACAAACCTAACCTAACATTTAGGATCTACTACTTAAGGAAGAATTTAAAATGCAAGTAAAGAAATAAAAAAAAAAAAAAAAAAAAATGGAGGGGGGGGGGGGGGGGGGGGGGGTTTGCAGGACAAAAATAGAACATGTACTTAACAAAAGAGGTAGAAAGATTAAAGGTAAGTTACTTTAATAATTTGTGTACTTTTATTTGTATTTATATTATTGCATATTATGCATTATTTGGAAATAAAGAATACTGAACTAAACTATAACTATGTAAGAAAGGGAAATCTACTTTTCATAGAAAATCACTATGGTATTAAAAATGAAGATACAACAATATCTGATACAGTATTCACTTTACCCATTCCATGATTGTGTATATCTATAAAACCTGGAGTAACAATATCAGCACTGTAGTGATGAGGAGCCATCTTCACCATATCTGTTTCCTGGTTAAATAACCCTGAAAAGAAATATGGTAGTAATAATAATAATAATGCGCTAGCATCTGAAATGTGGGTGGGGTGCAAAGAGAGGGGCAAAGGTAAATCCTAGGGGGAAATATGCTGGGGTGGCCAAAGGTGGGTGTGGTCGGGCGTTGCTCAAAATGTTTCGAAGGTGGTCCAGGGGGTGAAGACCCCGAAAAAAATGATAGTTTTTGGGTTTACCGTTTCAGAGGCTTAATCGGTTTTATAGATAGTTTACTAATATGCAGATAATACATACTGTATCTTTCTTTTTCTCCCCGACAAATTGTGGGGTCTTTTTTCTTTTTTTGGAGGGCAAACTGGGAAATGGCAAGAAAGTTATATGGGGGGAAACCCCCCCCCCCACCCGTGGAGACAGCACCCGTGGTGCTGCCACTGCCCACTCACAACTTTTATGCTAATAATTTTGAAATAAATAATTAGAAAACATAAGAAAATCTTTGGCTTTGATTGTTAAATTTAGGTTCTAAATGATAGTTTAAGCAGGTTAAGAAAAACAAAATACAAAATAGAATTTTATTTGATGAAGTATAGCAACCAATCAACAAAATGTTGAGAAAATAAAATCTTACAATAAAGCAAAAACCAATCAACCTTTCTTTATATAATATAATTAAAATTATAGTAAAGGCAGTTCATATTTAGCTGGTATAATGCCTATTTATCATAGTATTTTCATTGTGATAATTTCTTCTGGAAAATGTTCTCAAAAGACTATCTATGCAACTATATGATTAAAAAAAAATTGAAAAATTTTTTTGACCTCTGAAATTACGATGGAAAAAAAAGAGCCTGACTTGGGTTGTTTGTCATCACTTCAAGGGAAGCAGGTCAACTCGGCCCCATGTCAACTCGGCACCAGTCAACTCAGCCCCAAGTCAACTCGGCACCAATTAAACTCGGCCCCAAGTCAACTCAGACCTATGTCAATTCGGCCCCATGTCAACTCGGTCCCAAGTCAACTCAATCCCAATTCAACTCGGCCCCCAAGTTAACTTGACCCCAATTTAATGTATATTTACAAAATAATTACCAAAATAATATGAATGCAAAGCCAAACAATCCAAAATTAAAGTGTTTTAAATCTTGCCCTTGTTATTCTTTTTTCATTAACAATAATACTAACAGTAGCAATAATATTAAAATAATAAAAAAAGGCATAACAAAAACTATTGATAATAACGATATGAACATACTGATTTATAGGCATATCAAATATACATTATTATATATATGTATATATACTAGGCATATTTAAATATACTGAAATTCTTCTCCAATAAAGTTTTTCTAAAATACATATTGTTATATAATATTCGTTTCCTATTATATTTATATATAACATGGTTTAGATTTTACCTATTATATAATAATTTATACATATATATATAAATAAATATATATATAGGCCTATATATATTTAAATGTATATACATATATATATATATATATATATATATGTACATATATATTCATATGTATATTTAAAATGTATATTAAATTTATTATATCATCATCATTTATTTACATTTTTAATACATAAAGATGGTTTCAATTTTATCTATATCATGACATATATAGGCCTATCAAATACATATGCATTTAAATGTATATATATGTATATATATACATACAGTATATATATGTATGTATATGTGTGTGTGTGTATGTGTGTGTGTGTATGTATGTGTATATATATATAAATATGTACATATACATATATACACATACTGTACATATACGTATATGTATATACGCGTATACGTATATGCGTATACATATATACGTGTATATATACATATATACATATATATATATATATATATATATATATATACATATACATATATATATATATATACACAAGCTACACTTGTTCATATTATAGACTTACTATTGCTTTACTAACCTTTGGTTAAACAAATCACGGTATTCAATTATATATTCAGAATAATAATTAGCTACACTTAGTCCAGATTTTAGAGTTGCTATAGTTGGTCAAACTTATTGTCAAACAAATCAATCTATCTATTTAATATTCAGCATGATAATTACCTATATACATATAGTCTACAAGAGTATTTGGTTCATTTCTGTTTTGTTTTTTATTAACTGATGATGGGTTGAAGGTAACCCGAAACATGTCTGCCATTAAATTTTTTGTGTTATTTTTAAAATGCGTTGTATTTTTTGTCAACTTACGTCCATTTGGTTCTATTATCAAGGATTTCAGTTCAAGAAGATTACCAGTTTCTTTATTAAGGAAATATGAAAAGATTACTCTTCGTTTGAACAAAGCCGAATTGGATTTTAATTTTTTACATAATATATATATATATATAAAGCATAATATGAAGTCCATGTGTGTTTCGTCAATGTACAACTCAAAGGTAAAGAAAAAAAGATTGACTTGGTAGACTTGAAACACAATACATAATGTTTGTCACTCATGCTGAAGAAGGCCTGAGGACAGGCCGAAATATTCATGTGAATAATAAATTTAGTGTTTCAAGTCTACCAAGTCAATCTTTTTGTCTTTAATTTTGAGTATATATATATATATATATAATATGTATGTAATAAGTTTCGGTAAAAAACACCATAAGGTTTTACAATTTTTCAAAAGATTGACTCCGGCTTCTGCTTTGTGTTTTTTGTAAGCTTCTCCAGTTGCCTGCATTCCAGTTTTGACACTAGTATTTTGTTGGAAGTCCTCTATAATGCTGCCAAACTTACGAACAGAAACAAGGAGTAAAATAAACATAAACTTGATAAGGATAGATTTATTCATTGCTGTATTTAGGCCTGTAGCTGCAAACATGTTTCGTTGTTTATACAAACATCATCATTGCATATCAATTGTGTGTTCGGTGAAACCTAGCCTTAATAGAAGCGTTGATCAACTGCTATGTAAATCGCTTTGGGATTAACGTGTTAGGTATTGTGATCAACGTTTTGAGCATACTATGCATATTGCATTGTGATGCGTAATTTATGTTTATACGCAAAGTGTTAAGTTATAGCAGTGTACTTGGTTGTTAAGTGACGGGTTTCTCCACTTGATGTGAAGAGCTTCTTTAATTTTTAATTGGTAAGAACCTGTATTTGCCTGATTACCGTATTTTAAAGCAAGTTTTGTTACTGTGTGTTTTACAGTTCTGGTTTCTTGTTAAATGTTTGTAAACTTTTACAAACACGTGTATACAGTGTATATATACAGTAAATAGGCCTACATATATTCAAATATATATAGATATATGTAATGTATATATAATGTATATTTATATATATAATATATATATAATATATATATATATGTTGTATATATACAGTATATATATAATATAATATATAGTAGTATATTTAATGTCTATAACTCATAAAAGCATTGTCATATGTCGTTATTATTGTCATCATATCGTTATTATAATTATTAGTTATATTATACTTTTTTATATTGTTATTAATATTATTTTTATTAATGCAGTTTTAATTATTGTATGTGATGTAAATGAAGAGAAATAACAAAGGCAACGATAAAGAACACTATAATGTTGGCTTTTTTGCATTCAAATCTCTTTTAGTAAAAATTAATTAAATACACAGTAAATTGGGGTCAAGTTGACTACTTGTGGCCGAGTTGACTTGGGGCCGAATTGACTTGGGGCCGAATTGACATGGGGCCGAGTTGACTTTGGGCAGACTTGACGTCTACCTATTCGTGGAAAAGGCGTATTAGGTCTATGCCTTAAAAAAGTATTATACATGCTTTTTTGTCTTTCCTAAATTAGGTAAAATGTAAGCATAGTATACCACAATCGCTAAGTAGGCTAGGCCTAGCCTTTTATAGTACAATAGACGAATCTTGGCAGGCCTAGCCGCCGTGACACCGTTGTGACATCGTCCCACAAAACAAGCTAAGTAAGCCTAGCTAGCCCAGCTAGTCACTAGCCTAGTAGTAGTAGTAGTAGTGGGTTGTAAAAAACCTGTAATAAGTTCATCTTCAACAATAATATGTGTGGTTTCGTCCGAAGTAGCCCCTCCTGGAAGAGCAACATGTTTACAAGTTATGCATATCATATTTTCCTCCATTCTATTCTTCTGTATTATATCAGATGTGCGTTCCCTTCCTTGTTGTTGATCTTGTGTTGTAAACAAAAAATGTAAATAAAAAATATTTTTGATAGGCCTACTGTAGTACGCATAGGATTAGGAGGCCTAGTTTTTTAAATGTATATTATAATTATGTTAAAACACTGTCTATTTAAGTATTTATTAATTTTATATTATTTTTAAATTGTTTTTTTTTTAATTGTTTTTAATATTTTCCTTTTTTACTCTTAAATTACAATATAAATTAAAGGAGAACTTTGTATGCTTTGGGGTCAAAGAGTAATTATCGATACGATACGCTTGAGTGAAGCTCAGTTACACATGGTTGTGAAAGTGGGAGTTTATAGAGAAGCATATCCTAACCTGGGTTCAGAAGGAATTTTAGAAGTAGGCCTAGGCCTACATTTTTCACAACAATAGCTTGAAGATTTACTGGTGCCGTGTATTAAATAGTCGAGTGTAGAAGATTCATCTATTATGGAAACTGTGTTTGTAGAACAAGGACAATTCGACGATGCCACTGAAATGTTAGTGTTTAATTTGTCACTTTTCACAGAAATTTTAGGCCAGCAAAAGCTAGCTAGGGCTAGGCCTAGGCCTGGGCCCTAACTAGGCCTAAGCCTTCTAGCCTACCAACATTAGATTAGCTAGGCCTAGAGTAGTAGGCATCAACAATCTAGACTACCTAGGCGGCATCCTAGGACTATATATAGATAGTGTAGGCCTAGGACTGTGTAGTAGCGAGTATACTTTTGTAAATAGCCAAAGTTGTACCGTAGTGTAACGTCTAGCCCACGTTAGTAAATGTTAAGTTACTGAAACACGGGTGACGCCACCGAAATAACAGTACAAACAACAGCAAGCAACTAATTGTAATCAACGTTTATTGAACAACGGCAACACGACCTCTCTCAACGAGGCATCATCTCGCACTACCCCTTTCCCGCCAGTAACTCATGTGTCATCTCACGTCACGAAGGTTACCCGCAATGCAACCATACTATAGCAATATAGTAACTCCTGTTACATCCGCTTCCACTAAATTAACTCTGGGGATAGAAGGCAACTCGTGCGAATACATACATGGCATATGTTTTTTCAATAAAAGTAATCAATTTTCAATCATGTGTTTTGTAATCAAACTTCGAGTGATACTATTAATAATAAAGCAATGACAAATAACGCAATGTCTATGTACTGTAGTGTATGAGTACCAGAAATATGGGTCAATAAGTAATAATTGCATTGAGATATAATTAGATCAGATTATTGATATTCATGAACATTTCAAAAAAACAAACTTCAAAACTTTTTCAAACTACTGAAACTCAATCCATGTCCCTCCCCCTCTAAACCAAAACAGCCTGATTTAGAGTGGTTTGAGTTGGCTAGCATGAGCAACCATTTTGCCTTTCTTGTTACCCTTTAATTAAAAGTAACTGGAGACAACTGTTTCACAATTGTGAATGGGCCACACCACTTAAGGGCTAATTTGGCTGCAAAATTGTGCTTCTTGCTAGAATGGACTGAGTTAATTTGAAACATGACCTCTTGACCTTCTTTAAAATTACAATGCTCTTTCTTTTGGTCATAATACACTTTTTGGCGAGCTTTTTGAGCGTTTACTCTAGCTTGACTCTGCTCCAACATTTCATTGTTTACAAATCAACTGATTCATTAAGCATACTGTATTAGTTATGGGAGTACGCAATCCCCGTCTAAACAGCATATGGGCTGGGGTTAAGCCAGTTGTATCATGCCTTGCTGTATTTATTGCAAACTCTGCAATATGAATGTCCCAGGTTTTGTGATCGAATTCGATCCAACTAGGCCACAAGTCAACTCGGCCACAGTCAACTCGGCCACAAGTCAACTCGGCCACAAATCAACTCGGCCACAAAAAGTTGGGCTGCAGTCAACTCGGCCACAAGTCAACTCGGCCACAAGTCAACTCGGCCACAAGTTAACTCGGCCACAAGTCAACTCGGCCACAATAATATTGCTGTTATTATTGGTGTCATTGTTATTATTGTTTCTTTGTTAAATAACCAACAAAGGGCTTGATGGTCAGTAATTACGTTGGATCGTTTACCCTCCAAATAGTGCTTCCACTTCTCCACAGCCCAAATGACTGCGAGACACTCTTTCTCTGTTGTACTGTTTAAAATGCGTTCCACTGCACTTAGAGAGCGCGATGCGTATGCTATAGGGGGGTTTACGCCATCTGCGTCCGATTTCTGAAGTAATACGGCCCCAATGCCGACATTGGATGCGTCGCACTGTACCGTAAATGATTTACTAAGATTGGGGTAAGCTAAGATGGGACTCTCAATAAGTGATTGCTTTAAATAATTAAATGCCTGGTCTGTAGCCTCTGACCATTCCCATTTTGCATGTTTTCTGCGTAATGCATTAAGCGGCGCTTATTTGGGATAAATTTATTGTACCAGGCTACCATGCCAATGAAGCGCTCTATGTCTTTCACTTTAGTTGGTGTTGGGTACTCAACAATACTCTTTACTTTGTCTGGGTCCGTTGCCAATCCTTGGTCTGATACCAAATGACCCAAAAATTTAATTGAGGTTAATCCAAATTTGCATTTGCTGTATTTGGCTGTTAATCCAGCTTTCTCTAATCTATCAAGGATTTGTCTTAAATGACTTTCGTGGGTTTCAATATCTGGTGAAAATATGATTATGTCATCCAAATACACGTAACAAATCTTTCCTAATAGACCACCGAGGACCTGGTCCATTAGTCTTTGAAACGTGACGGGTCCGTTGGTAACACCAAATGGCATAACGGTATACTCAAACAAACCTAATTCACATGTGAAGGCAGTTTTGTACCTATCATCTTCAGCGAGAGAAATTTGGTGATATCCACTATTAAGGTCAAGTGCCGAAGAAACTCGGGCACCAGCAAGTGATTCTAAAATATGATAAACATTAGGCATGGGGTATGCATCTAATTTAGTCACACTGTTCAATTTTCTGAAATCTATACACAATCTGTGCTTGTCACCTATTGGAACTAAAATTACGGGGATGCCCATGGGGATTTCAAGGGTCTTATCCTCCCATCCTCTAGTAGTTTGTTCACCTCTTCCTTTAATGCTTCCCGTTTAATGGGGGATAATCTATAGGGCTGGCATTTAATGGGTGCACTGGTCCCAGTATCTATATAATGCTGAACCAAATCTGTTTTGCCAGGCTTGTCGGCGAAAACAGAAGCAAACTCCTTAATTACCTCTAAATCACATTGTGCATTAGGAGAATCATTAATAGTATTATCATTAGGTACATCATGAATAACATTTAGGTTTGTTTCATAACCTGTGATGGGGTACTCTACATTATGTTGGGCATTATCAATGACATATGAACCTTTCATGAAATCAAGGGTTACTCTTAATTGACAAAGGATATCCATACAAATAAGTACCTGAACTGGTAAGCCTGCAACAACAAGAAAAATATGGTTAAAACATTTGCCACCAATTTCAAGATTGTAACCTCACTATTAACTAACAGAGGTTCACCATTAACCATTCTCAAATTATTTGTATAATTATGAGTGATCATAAAATTGTCCACTGAAAACAAAGTCTTTGCAAATTGTTCATTGATCAAACTATGTTGTGAGCCAGTATCAATTAGTCCTGTCTGCTCGCTATCATTAACTTTAAGATGAATAAACGGACAAGTTTTGCTCTCTCCGTCGCACAGTGCTTGCGTGTTTTTCTTGACTTTGTTAGACTGAAAAGGTGTACTTGTGGGGTTCATCGTTGTATGCTTCGCTGGGAAAACTTGCTGTGGCCTTGGAGGAGGCATGCTACATTGGTCTTGCTTGTGACCAATCTGTTTACATCTATAGCAAACAACTGAATATTTACTGTTTTGCGAATCCATTTTAGCATTACTTCCACCATTTTGGTTTTTTGTTTTCCGGTTCATTATATATTCGTCTGCGAACTTTGCCAACTCTTGGGGAGTGCTGCACTTTGCGTCTCTGAGTTTAGTTTGCAACTCAGTGTCCAAAATAGTGCTCAACAATTGGTCACTCAAAATAAGATTAATAATTCTAATTGTATCCAAATTATGCTTTACTCTCATCATTGGGCACTAAGTAACTTTCAAGGCGACATGCAAACTCTACGAAAGTTTCACCTTGTTTCTTATGTTCATTCTTGAATTTGACCCTGTAACTCTCGGGGGTGAGCTGGTACCTTCTAAGAATAGTATCCTTGATTTTTACAAAATCCTTAATATCTTTATCGTTCAGTGTATGAAATGCCTGTTGGGCCTTCCCAGTAAGAAAAGGTTCAATAAGGGCTGGCCAACTTTCTATGTCGAATTGCTCTGTAGTCGCCATTCTCTCAAAAGTGGCTAAATAACAAGTAATATCATCGTCTATTGACAATTTATGGAAATTAGGCAACTTAATATTCACTACTAAAACACGGGTGATGCCACCGAAATAACAGTACAAACAACAGCAAGCAACTAATTTAAATCAACGTTTATTGAACAACGGCAACACGACCTCTCTCAACGAGGCATGATCTCGCACTACCCCTTTCCCGCCAGTAACTCATGTGTCATCTCACGTCACGAAGGTTACCCACAATGCAACCATACTATAACAATATAGTTACCCGTTAAAGTAGTAGTACTTTGGTATCATAGTATTGGTATTGTCTAAATAAAATACAATATGGTAGCACTTGTGCGTATACGTTTGTATAGATTGGGTTCTGGACTTAAAGTGACGTCCATTCTCCGAGGGCTTCCCAGGGTCGGCCGCGTCAGTCTTCGCAGGTGAGCTAACACATGGAATCCGGAGTCATTGCAGTGTGACCTGCAGGGAGTCGTCACTACATTCCCCCATTGTTTGAAGAAGGACGCCATGCTGCATGGGAAATGACCCAACCCACAGATATCCAGATTTTGTCTTTTTGTGGGCTCCGAGCCAGGGTTTATTAGTCAGAAAGGGTTCAGTCCCATAGATAATGCGGTGGAACCTGATGAAACATTAATTCTGTGCCACAAAGTCTTGTACTTTTGTTGTCAGAGGGTGGGGGGCTGGTGGTGGGGATCGGGGTCGATGACATTCTTCCAGGTTTGCTCTGCTCTTGGGCTATCCCGGTGTCCCAGCCAGGAACCTGGCCTACCGCTTTTGCTGTCTCCGCCAGATGCGGACCTCACTCACCATCCTGAATAGTAGTGAGGCCCATTACTGTAGATTTAATAAGCAACATGCACTTTTTCCTCAGTAAACCTACAGTACCAGCTCCTATGGTGGAACTGAAGTTGGTCCCTGGGGGATGGCGCAGGAACTTGTCCATCACCTTGCGGTTCATCCTGTGTGGCTCAGTTGTACTTATGGAAGCAGGTCAACTCGGCCACAAGTCAACTCGGCCACAAATCAACTCGGCCACAAAAAGTTCGGCTACAGTCAACTCGGCCACAAGTCAACTCGGCCACAAATCAACTCGGCCACAAGTTAACTCGGCCACACGTCAACTCAGCCACAAGTTATTTATAATTAAAATGAAATGTAAATATTAGGCAAAAAAACATATATACTTGTTTAGCGTCTCCACCTGAATTTTCAAGCAAAATAAAAAGATTAGAGTCGGGATTTTTTTTTTTTTTTATTAAAAAAAAATGAATATAGTCCAGGAAATTCTAATCAAAATAAGTATAGACCTATTTTAATTGAATTAAAACAATGATTTCACCAACTAGGTGTAATATTTATGGTAGGCCTATTGAAAATGATTAATTTTAACACATTTTATTTGATTACTGATACTGTAGAATTAAAAAAAAAAAAAAAAAAAAAAAAAAAAAACCACCCCTCCCCACCCAAAATTGTGTTGTGATGTGACTCTCTTATCCATGTTCTTTAACCGGTTATTGAATTCTGAAATTGTCTTGGATTGGATTGGATTTATTTGGTGTACTGTAAACACCAATAGCCCACAAAAGTCTAGAAGAAGACTTATTTCCAGTGGTGTACTTCTGGTGGTGATTGGGCAGTACACTGGGAGACAAGAGCGTAGTGCGTTCTTTAACATGCACATGGGCCATAAATGCACACGGGACCAACGGCTTTAAAACGTCTCATCTAAAAGACGGTGCACTAATTGTAACTTGTACATCATCCCTCCAGATGAAACACAAGGAGAGGCAGCGATAAGAATTGAAGTGGGGACCTAGAGATCTCCACAGTTCAATGCACACCCAGTGGCTACCAACAGATAAACCGACTGAGCTACTGTAAAGCTGCTTTCTCTATGTCTTGCATAGAGGCAATTGAATAATTTGATTTTATGAAGTAAAGTTAGGTCTACCTTTCTTTTCTAGTACGGAGCAGTCGATTTTCTTTCAACCAAAAAAATATAATAGGTGGATTCATGCTATGGGACAAAATGCATGATGCCAGATGGAACTAATTATGAGTGACAAATGGTGAAAATAATCATGTCACTTGACACAAAGTCTACCAATCAAATCACAATGATTTATTTATGTGTGTTACTCTCTATTAAGCGCTGCGACTATGGATTGGTTAAGGAAGTGGCAGATGCCTTCTAACATTAACAACATGATAAGTGTAAACTTTGCACTTTAAATCAATTGAACACCCAGAAGCCAATGAATGACGGAACGATACAGAAGCAAGTTGAAAATCTTGGAATATAATCTTGGAATCACATTCAAGGAAAAACAATCAATTCCCACACAATAGAGGTTCCCAGAAAAGCCAAAAATGATTGATCAAGAGTGCTCATTGCAAAGAAATGAGATGATCATTAGACCTACATTGGAATACGGTAATACAACATGGTATCCAATGAATATATGAGAAAGATGAAGACTTATAGGTAGAGACATGTATGTGTTGTAGAAGTATGTGTAACATTGAACAGAAATTTATTACATTTTAAAAATGTTTTTACAAAATTAGCCTGCCTATGGGTGCGATATGACATGCCTATATTAGTTGTCAAAGTGTAATACTGTAATGATAATAATTTTTAAAAATTTCAATGTTTTTAATTTGAATAAAATGAGCTTGAGAATAACTTTCCTCAAGGAAATAGCAAGTGTAAGGTATTGTAAGTACTTGAACTGAATTTTGCAAAGCAAATTTGTTTTGTGTTGTTTTTACCAAAACTGAAACTAAAGATAAAGAAATAACAAAAATAGAAATTGTTGATTAACGTTTAATTGTGCAATTAATATGAGTCTTATGTGAATATTATTTCAGTGAAGGATCATTGTCCACATCAACAATGGAAGTCAGTCATACTGAAATGACTCAAGAAGAACAACTTCATGATCAAGGTAAATTTAAAATGATTACCGGTATAATTATTTTGATAAAGTTGTTATTGTTCATGACCGACTTATATCAGCTTTTATAAGGCAAGGCAAGACATGGTTTTTTTGCAGCAATTAGCTGTAGCTGTAATGTATTGTCCCATGAAAAATACCAAAACAATATCAAAAATCATTTTTGTAAATTCACTTTCTCATTTTGAACATAAACATACGAGCTTGAACATAAAAATTAGTACATATACAGTACTTAAACAGGTTTACCCATAGTTTAAGCTTTTTCTACACTCCTCAAAGAATTTCATCTGGTTCCATAAATATAGTATAGAAATATCGGTTTTGTTGAACCAATTAGTTTGCTTACCTTAACGGTTTCAGCAACTATAGTACAGTACTTTGGTCACTTTCTTCAGGCTAATGATTGAATTGGATCGTTCATGCTTCAATGAGTGAGTGCACCATCAGGAGTTTTAACCCAGTGCCCCACGTTGATGTTATGGTTGGATTCTATCTTGAGGGTGTACTATGTTTTCTCTGAGCTTGTTTTCTGGTTTTATGAATGTGTTAACATTGTACATTAATAATTAATATATTAAAAATTAAAACAAAATAAAGTTCAGTAGACTATTATTTCTTTTTATTTGGTCCTACTGTACCTTTGGTATCTTGAACTTGAAAACTAGACTAAGAAGTCGCAGGAGAAAGGTGATACTTAATGATAAGCTAAATATGCATGAAAGGCCTGTCATGAGAGCAAACAGGATTTCTGTGAGTATATGATGCTGATCTAAATGATTGAAAATTAACTATACGTGATATGTTTTATTTAATTTCAGTACAGGAGTTAAATGTTAGAAGCTACGAAGAAGACGAAGAAGATGTCTTGGATAGTGATGATGATGATATGTGGCAATGGGAATGTGAAACTGGAGGTAGAGTGAATGTTTAAATAATTAAAAATAATGTTAAAATATTTTAGACTCATTCAAAAATGACAGTTGAACATAACAATCTGTCATCATCATCATCATCATCAATATCATTATTATCATCATTTCCACTACTTTAACCTTACCATTCTCATCTCCGTTATCTATAACTATTATACCAAATACATTTTATTTAGTATCATCAGATCATCGCAACCGCAACATCATTATCATCATCACCACCACCACCACATCATAACAAAGTTATTTCTTCATAGTGACAGAGTAATTTATCTGTTTGTTGCTGACAAGATAAGTAATGCATTGTTTGCAAAAAGAACTTTATTTTTTTATTTTTCCAAAAAAAAAAACATGATTCTGTTGATATAAACAGGGAGAAGAAAAGCCTGCACGAGAGCAGATGATGAGACCGTGACTGCTTTCTCATTTGCCTTTGGAATTTTTCTTTGTTATAAACATTTTTCAGTCTTCTGAAACTCGGGTACTGACATTGGACCTGACCTATATACTGTAACAAGGTTTTGTTTGAATTCATTGACGGGTACAAAGGCACTGAACTTTTGCATTTCGATGATGCATCTTGGTACGTTGATGCCATGCCATATTGACTTGTGTCCAGGGCCACGATGCTTGGATGGGGACACTGTTGTAGTGCAGAGCAGAGGCTGAAATGCTGCACAGAGCCAGATGAGGTTTGCTTTTTTGCACAAAGACTGGCCACCTGCCTTCAATCGGAAAGGATAACGGACGAGCCGTGGAAGAATCTATCACCTACTGCGAACGGTTTCTCCTGGAAAGTTGGCAAAACCAGCTTTGCAACACAGGATAGGTCCGGAGAGGTGCCTTTGTTCCTGTTGGTCATGGAATCCAACCACATAGTTAAAACTTCTATTCTCAAAACAAATGGCCTTTTTCAGGGACACCATAATGTAAAAAAAGATTTGTTAGTTTCTGTCTGTTTATGATAATTTATCTGTCTGTTGCTGACAAGACAAGTACTACATTGTTTGCTAAAAGAATTTAATTTCTTTATTTTTCCAGATTTTACTAAGAAGTACAATGCCCTTCGTTCCAACACAGAACAGGTATGTTATAGCAAAGACTAGAAAAAATGGAAAAGAACACAGTCATGTTTGTAAATATGTCGCGTCCCTAGTTACGCCATGGAACTTGCCATTTTTTAAAATAAAAGTGCTCCTGTTGTGCTTGTTGACCCAATCAATCTCCACCATACGCTCCCTCCAACGGTATATAGCAAACTACAAAAGTATTGTATCATGTGAAAAACTGATAAACAAACCGTTCGTTGTACTACTGGGTAATTTAAAAAGTTTGCAGACAGCAGTGGGCATCCTCCCATAGCTGGTCGTATCATTTATTTACCCTCATCCTAATTGATTGTTTTATTTTTATACCAATATTACTGTTGTACGACTTTACCCTAAAATTTTGGATTTATATAGTATATGTATTGTTGTTATGTAAGATCTATTATTTTTTTTAATGTATCATTCGTAATTTAACTGAAAAGCTTAATAATGATATTTTGAAACAAAACTTGAACATGACTTACTTTATTTTCAAGTTAATAACCAAAACCAGAAAATAGTCAAATACAAAACTTGCTTTGAAAGTACTCTGTAACTTTGGAAAGTAACAAATTTGTTTTAATTCCTTGTTTTCATTGCAGCCAAATGCCAATCAGCCAAATAAGCAAACAACAAAAACACAAGCTTACCAGGTAATGTAAAAATAATGATATGTTTAGTGAAGTCATGTGTTATCAGGAAATACAGACTATGTAATTCAATCTATAAATGAATTATAATGTTTGGATTTATAATTTCATTTTATTTAGGAATTGAAATCTCAAAACATTTCTTAAATACAAAACAAAAACAAAGAACAGATAGATATTATGAACAACAGAAAAGATATTAGTTCCTAGGGTAAATCAAGAAAAAATTTAAAATATAAATAACTTTTTCCATCATTCAAATAATTGTTTGTTCTTCAATTTGTCTTTCTATGCAGATTTTAAAAATAGTTTTTTTTTTAATAGTAGTTGGTAAACTAATAATTATAATAATTGTATTAATAATATTTATGATGGTGACAATTCTGTAATTTTGGTTTTTTAATAAAAGCAAGATCTTAGTAATAAATTTGATTTTCAGATTCTGCCATCATTAAAAACCACTGTTGTAATATTACATTTAAAATGAAAAATGGATAAGCACAGAAATATATTTTTCTTCTTTAATAAACATTTCTTTTGAATATAGATTGCATAGGTTATTAATTGGCTCAGCTTTTATATATTTTTTTCTAGCCAAGTGAGAAGCACTTTCAGAAGTTTGTAAACAAGATCAAAGTTGAACGCTATGCTGGTCCTTCGTTGCCTGGTGCTGCATCCAATCAGCTCCTCCGTAACAGCAAGAAACAAGAAGCAGACAGGTAAAAACAACAAACCAAAATTTTTTTCATGTCTATATATATATTTTTTTTACTATGCACATGATTGGTTTGACAGAAAAATGTCCGATCTCAACATAGTGGAAACAATTGTTAATCATTAAATATTTTCTAGTTACTAAGAGGAATTTTAATGATTTCTTACAGAGTGAGGGTAAAAGAAAAAGCAGACAGAGCCACAGTAGAACAGGTATTATAATAATAATGGTTATTTGATATTATTCTTCTGAAGAAGATTGAAGCAACTCAATTGAAAAATCATTAAATATAATAATTTGTATCCTTCTCTTTTCATTACCCTACATTCATATAGAATAATATATGGAATATTTTTGGAAAATCAATGTACAGTAAGTGAAATATCAAATAATACTGTTATAGAAGCGTGTGGCACAGCGTGCAAGGCTTTGGGCTTTTAAGCGGAAGGTCAGTGGTTCGAGTAGTAGTAGTGGTACAGTCAGAGTTCTGTAGTATGTTACATAACAATGACAGGCTGGCTCATTTTAATTTAATCTCTATGAAGGCTAGATTTGAATATACAGTATTTTGATTTTATTTGCATTCAAATGTTTGTACTGTCTAGACGACTTTGATTGTCACAAATTTGTTAAGATCAACATAAGACACTCAGAAGACTTGCTTTTCAGGCATGCCTTTGCCCGGACTAATGCTTTTAAGTTTTCCACTTTTAATCACTTTCCCATTCTTTGGGACAAGCTCCCGTTGGAAGTCCTTGATGCAGCACTTTTTAATTTCAACTCTTTCGGTAAGCTGCTCATGCTAGGTTTACACTATGTTCCCGGTGGGCACGGCAGCCACGTTTCAGGCCACCGTGAACAAAACGGGATGCATGTGAGACAACGCTAGACAACCCGAGGGGACGGAATGGGCAAACGTGACGGGCCATGATTGCCGGTGGATGCCGGCGCAAATTTTTAAACTGTCAAAAAATTTGCCACGGCAGTCACAGTGTGAATGAGAAACCTAGTAAGCCGCAATAAAACGGGGTGATCGCAACAAAATGCAACATAACGTGACAGTCCGTAATAAGCCATAACAAAACTTGGAGGCGGTCCGTAGTGGGACGGGAAGCATAAAATGGAAGAATGCCACGAATAAAACAAAAAGAATCCAAGCTATGCCACCAAAAAAGCCAAGATGGAAACTTGAAACGTGGAAAAAATTGCCAAAAAATCCCACAGCGCACAACATTTCGGGCAAACGGGGCTGCCGTGGCCACCGGGAACATAGTGTAAACCTACAGTAGCATTAGGGAACACTATTATAACCATAATTTTCATCGACTTCAGTTATCATGCTTGGGCATGTCTGATTTGCTTGCATTTTTTTATTTATGTGTATAAAATTTTATCATTAACTAATTTGTATAAAATAAACTCAAATCACATAAATATATATTTTAAAAATAATAAAAGGATGCTTCTAACGGTTGAATGATTGTAATTTAAATGCTTATTATTTTCTATATTGTAACTTATATTTATATTACATTCTCTGTGTGTTTTGCTGTTCTCTGATTTCCCACATCGGGTGGAGACCCACTTTGACGGTAAATTATTTTACTTTTTAGTTATCCGCCGGCCCTTGTGGGGGATCAGAGACCAACGTTTATTGTATCTTTTTTGTTCTTTTTGACTGCTTTATCCTTTTATATTGTAATTGCTTTCGGTTAAATAAATGAAATGAAATGACCGATGCTCATCACACTGCTTGAGTCCTTGGGCAAGGAGTATAAATGGGTATCTGGTAGGAGGGGAATGATTCAGAATGAAATTACTCTAGTGCTGATTACACCCATAACTAAGAATACTTCCCAGGGAAAGAAGGAGGTTGGACATTGTGTATTATTGATTCTGTATCCAGTGACCAGGAAAAAATGTGCCTTGAGCCTGGATGTATGCCCTATATAAATCCTATAAAATAATAATTTTCTATTATTTTTTTTTTAAATACTTAGACAGATGGAAAGTAAACAGAATTTTATTATAAACCTTTTATTTTCTTAATAACATATTTTGTACTTTAAATTAAATTTTACGAGTTAGGTTTATTCCATTTTGCTACTAGGTTCTTGACCCTCGAACTCGTATGATCCTCTTCAAAATGTTGAGTCGCAACGTGATCAGCGAGATCAATGGATGCATCAGTACAGGCAAGGAGGCCAACGTGTACCACGCCACTACTAGCGATGGTCATCACAAAGCAATTAAGGTTTAGTTTTCTGGATTACTTTATATCAACTTTGTATTCAAAGCTTCAACATATAATTTTAATATATCCTACTTTGCAATAACCTTTTGTTAGAATAATTAAATTATTTATGAATGTTCATTTCAATGTTACTACATTATGACTTTAGTATCAACTTTCCTGCTAGTAAAATATGTGCACCCTCCAATTTGAGACCCCTCTAACTTTGAGACCCATATAATTCAAGACCACTTTTTCAAGGAACCAAATATCAATCTTCAATTTTTAAACACAAATCTACCTCCCAATTGGAGACCAAACCAGAGACCTTTCCAAATTTTGAGGTCCCAAATGTGTTCTCAAATTGGAGGGTGAACTATATTTGTGGCAACGACAAGCCAGACCAGTCACTTGTTGCTAAAATTGATTTTTAGTTATTAATACCAGGTTAAACAGTAAAATGAGAGCTCTAAAATGGTAAGAATCATTCAAATTCAACATTTCGTTATGAAGTTACAGAAACCATTACCAAATTGTTAAGAACTGTGGTTTTAACATTGAAAATTCCAGCATGTTTTAGCCATTATCTCTGAAACAGGATTTGTGACGAGGGACTGGTTTGGCTTCTCATTTATTTTTTTAATTATCTGATTCTTCTGTATTTTTAATTATATTGAACTATATTAATATTTGTACTAGTAAATTTAAATTGTATTTTTATTTTACAGGTGTATAAAACATCCATTTTGACATTTAAAGACAGAGATAAATATGTTAGCGGAGAGTACAGATTTCGCCATGGATACTGTAAACACAACCCAAGGAAAATGGTGAGAACATGGGCAGAGAAGGAGATGAGAAACCTAACACGGTTAGTTGATTGATTTTAACATGATGCAGTATTTTGATATCTTCTTTTAAAGTGTGCATGTTTACGCTGTATTAATTATTTGACAGTCTTATTGAATTAAGAATTTTGAATCACCACAACATAACATTCATAGTATATGCAAAAAGAAATGGCTATTCAATTTTTTTTGGATGATTACTTCCTGTAGATTACACAATGCAGGGGTTAATTGCCCTCAGCCAGTCATCCTCAGGAGTCATGTTCTAGTTATGGAGTTTATTGGGGTTGATGGATGGTAAGTTGCATTATTGATAAGTGCCTAAATACAGCCTGTAGCTTTGTAGCTTTTTTATATGCATTAGTCTACAATTGAAAGATTTGAAATATGGGTATTCCCCAGGAACAATTTTTAATTAAAAAGCTACTGAATTTGTCTCAAGGGTACAGTATAATAGTGTTAAAAAAGCATATAATATTTTTATGTACTATGTCAAGAAAATATTTTGATATCCTTCCTAATTGTTTTATAAACATCAGGGGTGTCATTTTAAGCCGGCAGCCGGCGAAATCTCCGTCTATTATGATTTTTGCGCCAGCTATTAGAACGGAGGTAAAAATATAATAGTGGCCTCAAACCTAGGCTCATCATGGGCTGGTCCTTGCCAAGCCCTCTAATAACCAATACTTTACTTTTTAAATACAGAATCTATGTCGTAAATCCTATTTCTTGACCAAGCAAGTACTTGTTAAAACAAGAATTTCTATTCTTTCAAAAGCCATCATTGAACAACACACGATCCCCGACACGATCGACGTGACAGCAAATCAACCCACATGGGGAATCCATGAAATGGTTCGGACGTATCCTTGTAAACAAGCTCGACTCAAAATTGAACCACGGAGCAGGCTTGGTTTGATTTTCGTAATATAATTTTGCTGGTTTATTAATAAACCTAATTTATCTTGGTACAGTTAGTATGTGTTTTCAATCATTTAATACATTTATTATTCATTGTGTTAACTTTTAAAAATATAAATACTTGCATTATTTTTGAATGACCACACTTGATTGAAGAAGACGACATGCATGCGGTACTTTGTATGAAGCCTACACCAAAAACATGGAGAAAATCCCTTCTAAATCTAGCATTTACCACGAAAATTGAAACAGCATTCTTTTAGGCCTAAACTTATCGAGTGTCGGCAAAGAACATCTGAACAAGACCACTTTGTAGAGAACATGTCATCGGCCGTACGAGGTATGCTATGAAGCAAGAAGTAAAGAGCCTCGTCCATCATAATATATCATAAAATGTGCGTGTATATTTTGTAAGATATTTTATTTAATCATCACAAATATTAAGTAAAAAAAAAATTCTGGCCGAGCGTTGAACCCCAATCAAGCGAAGAACATCGGGAAAGACCATGTGATCCACCCTACGAAGTATGCCAGGAGTAAACAACCTCGCCCCGTCATAATGGCATGTAATATGCGTATATTTCTTGTAAGATATTTAATCACCACGAATAAAGTATGTCAACCAAATAGTTTTAATGTTTTATTAACCATTTTCCCACATCGTCACTAACAAAAACAACATTGACAGTTCATTTGAGGGAAAGGCCATGCTGTATGTGCGAGCCACTCTACAAAGTACGGTATGAGGTGGATCAGCAGAGAGCATTCGCGTCCTCGCTCGTACGTACAGTGGTCATGATGTGAGTAAACTAAAAATAATGCAGATGGCCCAGTTCTGGCGCATGATCTTTTTTTGAAAAGATATCAACGATTCAATAATTTATTTAATGATTGAAATAAATATATATTGTATCAAGTTATATGTTCAATAAAAACATTTTTTTTTATACCTCCGTGGTTTAAACTACATTATTGACGTGGTTCAACGTACATTCACATGAACAAATTTGGGGATTCTCCGTGTGCGTTGATTTGCCGTCGATTCGATCGTGCGTTGCTCAGTAACAACTTTTAAACAAGTAGAAATTTCTTTGTTTTTACAAATATGTATTCTAAACAATGAAAAGCTTGGAGAAGATATGATTTTTGTTCACCGTTAATTATGCTACATTCTAAGCTTATCTTAACAACAAAAGGGCCTCTGCAAATTAGTGCTGTCGTTTGCTTCAGGCTCCTCCCAAAAAGCTAGGAATTTATCTCACTGGCTGTTTTAATTTTATGATTAAATTTTAGCTTTTGATTACCACTTTTGTACTTCATCGTTTTTTTTTCAGTATTTTGCCTTTTTGATTATAAATAGAAGTTGTACGAACAGTGTATGATGTGCTATCAATTTATTTATTATTATTGAAAATTAAATTAACCTAGAAAATGTTTGACTGTTGGATTTTTACTTTAAAATAGCCTTTAATACATTCTAATTCAAACATTGCAACACAATTCAAAACTTAAAATTCAACACTTTTAAATGGCATCTTACAGTAATTATTTTTCTTCTTTTTTTTTTAAGTAGGGAGGGGGACTCCCCATCCCAAACCCAACCCCTGCTCAGGCAACAAATTTCAACAGTTAAAATTTAACACTGCTAAATGTCAATTCAAACACTGTTAAATGGCATCTTACAATAATTATTGTTCATTTTTTTCTTAGGTATTATTTATTTCCATAACTAATATATAAGCAACACAATTAAAATAATTTTTAATTTGGAAAAAGGCGACCACTAGAAGCATTAGGCGACACTTTTTTATACCTTGTTACGTGAACCTTCACTCGCTTGATGATTTTGAATAAAAATAAAATTTTATTTTTGGCCAATTAGCGTACTCACCTCCACAAAAATGTTTGTCTTTATTTTTATTATGCCCGCCATGGACTAGAAATCTCCATAAATAAGTTATTTATATTTTTCCTAATTATATTTAAAGCATTAAACCATCCCATTACTACGCTGTTGACATTCAACAATAAAGATTTATTTTTATTTCTCCTCCATTTGGGTGTTTTTGGCAAAACTATCTGCTAAATAAGAAAAAAAAATTATTTATATTTTTTTTTCACCCTCTAACAATCTTTAAAAAAATAAGTTTGCGAAACAGGTATGGAGTAAGTCTCGCCTTAGCTTTGAAATGCAGAGACTTAAAGTAAAAAAAATAAATCACAATTAAGGAATCATACAATATGTACACATAACAGTTGTAATAACAGATATGTTCTGATAATAAGAATAATTAAAAAAAAAAAAAAATAGAATAACAAAATTTAAAAAATAAAATAAAAATATGAATTAAAATAATAATACACATAAAAATCATTAGGTTTAGACAATAGTATGTATGACATGTAAGTTTAAACTAATTATTAATGTGAAAAAATGAGTAGTAAGTGTAGAAGATATACTAAAGCATTCATTATTGATTGTTGTAAACAGAATATGATAGTTATGACAAAATTTCTCCTCTTAACTAGTGACATGATAATTATTAAAATATACACGTGGACGTGAAAGTTAACATTATTTAAATTGCGTTTATAGCGATAAGGTGATAAGTAGACAATATTTAAACATATAATTAAACAAAAAATATATATGCACATACTGTAGTCTTAACATTTTATTTTTATTTCTCAGGATTTATCATAGACAGTATGACCTATAAGATAATAATTATGAAGCTGTGAGAAAGCAGTGATGATATTATGATTTTAAATAATATTGTGATGATGATGATAATAATTATGACTTTGTGATAATGATAATTTTTGAGGTAATTTTTGTTTGTTTTAGGCCTGCTCCATTATTGAAGGATGTGCAATTGTCTGAAAGCAAGTCTCGTGAGCTGTATTTAGAGTGTGTTCACATGGTTAGAAAGATTTACCAAGATAGTAAATTGGTTCATGCAGATTTGAGTGAGTTTAACATGCTGTAAGTTAATTTGTTCTTTCCAAGAATATTTTGTATCTTTCTTTTCGATTTTGTGTTAAAGATAGATAACAAATCATGCGCAAGTAAATATGTCCTTGAGTCTACCCTACAGTCTACTCTTAAGAAACCTTTTTTACAATAAAATAGTATTTAGTTTCTTAATGTTTTGATTCAGATTGAGCCAAATAAATCAGAGATTAAAATGTTAATCAGCTAAACTGGTGTTTGGCATCGAGTGTGCTTGAACTGTGAAGATTCTTTTGCACCTGGTGCAATTTCATCTCAGTTTCAATTACACAAATTACAGATCTTTTGGATGAGACATTTAAGCCATTGGTCCTGTGTGTTGTGGCCATGTATATTTATGTAAAATTATGTAGTACACCCCCCATGTACTGCCATATTTACCACCAAAAAGACATCCCTGGAAATAATTCAATCTAATCAAAATAATCCAATCCAATGCATGTAGCATGGCCGGCGGAACCGGGGCGGCTGGGGCCTGCCCCCCCCCCACTTTTTGGCAGAAAATACAGTATGTTGTCTATAGAGGTTTTTGTATGATCGGAAAAAAATGCAAGAAAAGAAAGAGGGAAGAAGGAGAGGGAATCCCGATCGAGTTAGATTTTCTCGTAATTCATATTGGCGGTTCTGGGGATCAGGGGTCCTGAAAAAAAAAAAATTTAAAAAATAAATTAAAAAAAAAAAATTCTAGACCCGCTTTTTCTGGACCCGTGAGCTATATTGTTTCAATAAGGAAAATTAGAAGTCATGAAAGCTCATTTCCTACCATCTAGGAATCAGCATTTTCTCGGGGAGGACCCCGACCCTCTTATATTTTTGGGGTTCATCGATTCATGGAAAAAATAATACGTATGTATACCGGTACACACATAATAGGCCTATTTACTGTAATAAGAATGAGAAAAATTTACCTGATCGTTTTCAAGGGGAAACCTTGAATTTTTAAGAACTTTAAAAGACACTTCAGAAGTCTAGGAAGTCTACAAATCAAAATTTTCCAGGGTGGGGGATGCTGACCCCCTTACTTTTTGGGGTATTTGGGGAAAATTTTGCCCCCCTCCCACTAAATTTGAACCCATTCATCTTACTAGTGGGCCCCATCCCCCTCCCTCCCCCCCCCCCCCCAACTTTGAAAAAACGTTCCGCCGGCCCTGTGTAGTACTACATAATTTGTCTGGAACAGTTCTGTATATATTAAGTGTTAATATTAATATGTTTCATCATATTTTTCCAACAGATTTTGTGATGATAAAGTTTACATTATTGATGTTTCTCAGTCAGTGGAGCATGACCATCCTCATGCGTTGGAATTTCTGCGAAAGGATTGTACAAATATTACAGGTAACTATTAAAAGCTCTGTCTACACTATCAAATTTACTTCAACAAAAAAACACTTGTATGCCCATATTTAGTCATGCTATACCTATATATGGGCATGATGCGACCATATTTAGGCATGTGACATAAAATTTGATAGTCTGTACTGGTCTTTATAGCTTTTACATTCCCTCTTCATCTCTGCTGTTCTTTTCTTCCATCTGACCATTTTTTTTTTCAGTTTCTGATAATTTTTTCATCTTTGCAAAGCTTATCCATAGTTTAAAGTGATTTGGTTTTGATAACATGATTTTCAAAGCTGCATGAAAACTGTGGCTTAGCTATATAGAGGCACTCAGTGCTATTAACTGCTTGATGTTAGTAGCTTAGTAATAAAGTGGTATCTAATGATATTGTAACAGTAAAAAGTGTCATTATAATGTTTGCGAGTGCAGATGATATAGTTAGGAGAAAAATAAATTCTGGTGTTTTCTAGGTTTAAACCAAAAATCAAAATACAAGATAGCACACTCTTCCTTTTTTTTGTGCAAATTCTGTGAGAGCACTGCATACTCATTTAGTAAGGTGCCCTCTTTGACCAACAATCTTATAAAATAAACATAGCATTCTCTTCGCTTTCTGCCTGTAACAACTATGGTAATAAACGTAGTTCTCTCATTTTTTAGGATGCTGTCTCTCAAAAACACTTACTGTAAATTGATGCTTCTTTATATTAAAAGTAAAATCGCAGAGTGAGCTATCTTTAGTTTATAAAATCTTTGGTTTGAACCTAGTTTCTAGATATTCAAGTCTTAGTACCTTAACTACCAAGCCACAGATCTAATTTACTCTTAATTTTGCACAATTAAATTGTATGATTTGATTTTCTTTTATTTAGATTTCTTTTGTAAAAAGGGTGTGTGCACGATGACAGTGAGGGAGCTGTTTGACTTTGTAACTGATCCAAATATTAACGAAAGTAATCTTGAAGATTATTTGGAGAAGGTAATAAATATATGGATGAATACTTATTCAGAACAAAATATTAACTATGAATCAATCAATCAGTTTAGTCCAAATTTTTTTTTTTTTAAACAAAATTTAATGACAAGAAAGATCGACGTTTCTGGTCCATCATGGAACCATTCTCAAGATCAAGTAAATTGAAAAAACTAAAAACAAAAATACCAAGCAGTGAACAGGAAGTAAGTAATTAATTAACATATCAATAGATATGTTAATTTTGACATATTGATATGTTAATTAATTACTTACTTTCTGTCACTGCTTGGTATTTTTGTTTTTAGTTTTTTCAATTTACTTGATCTTGAGAATGGTTCCATGATGGACCCGAAACGTCAATTTTTCTTGTCATTAAATTTTGTTTTGAAATTATATAGTAAGCGTCTCTCAAAGTGTGGAAAAGGAAAAACTTTCAACAGTGGGTCCCTTCTTAAATAAATTAAATATAAATATTTATAACATCTAGAAAAGGCAAATGAATAAATAAAAAATGATGAATAAGTAAATAAATAAAAACAATGATAATAATACTAATAAGGCCAAAAAAAAAAAATGGGTATGTCGGTAGGAAAAATTTTTTTTTTTTAACCAATAATGTGTTTATGCCTAAAAAGTAGAAAATACACACAAATTCCACAAAGACCATTTTAATATCTATATTAAAGAGCAAAACGATCACATAACACTGTCGCATCGTCCTACCGTGCAGCAAGATACAGTCGGCCTTTTCTAGCCTTTTCAGCTCATTAAAATAATATTTTTCGTTGTAGTAAAAGAAGAAAAAAAAACTAAAATGCTGAACCTCAATTTTGTACATTTTTGGTCGGTGAGACGTGGCCAACACAATATTTTTTTTTATTTGGCCTAGTAATAGTAATAATAAATATATAAGTAAAAATAAAACCAATAAATATTATAATAAAGTATTTTATCACTACTGTATCATAAAATCCTGATTATGATTTCTTCATAAGACACCATTAATGTAGAAAGACCACATATTAAATTAAAAATTGCTTTTTTAGCATTTATCTGTTTGCTGATTATCTCTTTTTAATATTTGATATTGGATTAATGTTTCATAATGGCATGATTATCATTTTTTTTTTTCATTTATAAATAAATTTGATTTTCAAATACAGGTCTCCCTCCAATTAAAGACTACTTTTGTGACTGGTGTTTCCATGGTCTTTAGCAGATTTGGTCTCTAATTAGAATAATAAACAGATAAGTGTGGTCTATAATTGGGGGTGGGGGGGGTCTAGTCTTAGATTGAGAGGCAGACCTATGTAAATCTTCTTGCATGTAGATTTATTTTTGTGTACCAGGATCAATGCTTACATGCCATCCATAATGACAAAATTCACCTTAATAATTTTAGGCAATGAAGATTGCATCTGAAAGGTCGGAGCAGGACCTCACAGAACAGGAAAAAATTGATGAAGCAGTAAGTATATGCAGGACATGGCACCATCATACTCAATGAAGAGAATCCTTAGTTATATTTGTATAATTCATTGTTCATATACAGTACACTGTTTTGAAAGCTTTTTGTCTTGATTTCTTAGGTGTTCAAGCAAACATATATCCCAAGATCATTAGATGAAGTAGAAGATTATGAAAAACACATAATAAAAATAAAAGAAGGGGAAAAAGAAGAGGTAATGGTTTGAAATGCAATGTTAGTGATACTGTACTAAATTAAGGTTGAATAGTGAGTTCTTTATCTCTTGGTTCATGATCTCCATTTATTTAAAGAGCATGAACAACTTTTTAAACATATCTTTGGCAAATCTCGAATAGGAAATAGTCCATTTCCGACCATGTAGATGTGCCATAGTCATAAATCTGTGGTGGGGCTGAGGTGTGGAATTCCTTCCCTGCCCGACCTCTCCTACTGAATCGCCACTGATGTGCTGAGATGATAATAATACAAATCTGTTTTAGTTATTGATTTTCTCTATGTAGAATCTTTTCCAGGCCATTTATTATTTCTCAGGTGATGCATTACTTTTTTAGCTGTATTCTGGTACAGCATCTTCTGGTTTTTAAGTGTGCTTAATATTTTGGATTGCAGCATTCTTTTTCATAAAAATAAATGTATTGTGAAGTGCTTAAAGGGCTTAGCAATATGCGCTATTGGAGACAAGTATTTTATTTTCAAGCATATTTTCTACTTAATCACAATTAGAAATTTGATTTGAATTGTATTGGTCCACAGATATTTTATCAAACATTAACCGGATTAAAACCTGATCTCAGCGGTGTGCAACAGGTGAGGTCTTTATTATTTTATGGTATTTACAGTAGTTCCAATCAATGGTTATCCCCACATGCAGAATGCGATGCTTACATAATAATTTTCTTTCAAGATTAAAGCATTTTCATGAGTTATAGTTATGCATGCAAGTTTGAAAAATGCTGGACTACATCATCACCAATTACAGGATGGGATATCTACTTGTTAACATTTTAACATGCATACTTTTATACTTAATGATATTTGCATATTTTTTACATGCTTTTAAATAAGAATACGGTTCTCCAACTTTTTTGATATATTTTCCTGATATTAGGAGCCAGCCTTGTTGTCAGCACAAACCGATGAAACGGTGGAAGACAGTGACACAGGGAGCAGTTCTAATGAAGTTGAGGGCAGTACAACAGAAAATAGACAGGATCAGAAACACTGTAGGACAAGAGATGAATCACCAAATACAAAAAAGGTTAGCACCTTTCTTCTATGGTTCTAGATATTGATAGTTATAGCATGGAGGTATTATGGAGGACATCACTCGAAAAAACTGCGTACATGCAATGCTGTGCAAATGATCCGAAGAACAAAGCAGCCACAGCTTTGTTCTTCAAAGTATGCCTTTGAAAATTAATGTGTTTCCAGCCACCAAATGCTCAGTGGATTAGTTTACTAGAAAAATTGAACATGGCGAAATGGAGAGCACCTAATTTTCTCATTGCGCACTACTTACAGTCAATCACTGTGGCTGCGCAATCGTTTCCACCTTGAAGTAAATACATTTTATCTTTCAGGAAATACCAAATATATTAATATTTTCTATAGAAAAGAGTTTCGAATTTAATGAAACATTTACATGAGCTTTAAAATTATGGTATATTTAAACTTGAATTTCAATAAATTGGATGAAACTCGATAATAATTTTAACATCTATTAATTAAAGAATGATTGAAGATTATAGTAAACTAAGTCATTTTAGTGTGAACGAGTGTGGACTATTTAAAAATTCAATCCAAAATCAGTTTTACGTTGCCTCAGCATTATACAATAGTCAAACCAGTCAATCTTTAGACAAAATTATAATGAACACAGAAGTAATTGCAACAGAACTATTTTCTGGAATCTGTTCCTGAAATGTACACATTGTAACATACTAAAAGTCAAAAAAATCCAATAGGGGAACATTGTTAATTCTGAAGATATTTAATGAGTTAACATGAAACGATTTATTGCACATCTGCTGTGTTGAAGCGTATGAAAGCCTGTTGTTGCTAACGAAAAAATGTTAAGAAGATACATTAGTTTGTCGCCTCAAAAAGATCTGTTGCCGAGTGATCTCCTTCTCAATAATACCTCTATGGTATAGTGATGATGGTAATGCTAGTTTTACAGCAGGGATGGGCATTAAAAATCAGTCGGAGGACCAAAGTGAACTTTTGATTTAACACTGAGGGCTGCACCCAAACTTTGATGTTCCAGTGAGCTTCCAAAAACCTCCAATCACTGCTTTCACATCACCTTTATTCTCAGTTTTAATGTTACTTTTTACAAAATATTAGTGTTGGGCTGTAAGAAACAATGTCTTTTCTAGCCAATTTTGATTGGTGGGCCACAATCATGGGTTTTTAATTCATTGTCGCGGGACGAAAAAAAAATCGCTGACGGGCTGTACTTTGCCCACCTGTGTTTTACAGTAATAGCGATAATGAAGATAGTGATCAGGATAGTTCCTGTATAACATTGGTGATATGATGACAGTGATAATGATGATGATACAGTGGATAATGGTAGTGATAGCGATAAATATATAATAGTGATGCCGATAATTACAACAGTGATAATGATAGATATGATAGTGATGATGGTGTCAAACAACTATTTTTTAATAGTGCAGATGTTATGGTCATTGTATTTTGTAAATAATACAATAAAAAAATAAATGAGATAGTAATTAAAATCATTAATCTGATCTACTTTTTAGGAAAGAAAGCAAGCAGTTAAAGACGAGAAGCGAGAAAAAAGAAAAAACAAAGTACCCAAGCATCTAAAGAAACGAAAAGAGAAATTATCGCGATTGAATAAAGGAGGTAAAAAGTAATGTGAATTAACAGAGTGAAAACAATTTTGTTAACTTTCTTATCAAAAAATCAATTTTAAATGTCATTTTAATCAGTCCCATCAAGTACATATATATGTACATTATCAAATAATAATTCCCATTACAATGTATTTATTTGGTAAAAAAATATAGAAATGATGTATTAAAACAAATATATACAATAATAGAAATAGTGTTACTGTTTGGATTTTGTTCAGCGATGATCATAGAGCTATTAAACAACTAGAGTGCTGACAAGATGGCGAAGCAATGCAGAGTTATGTGTGTGTACCATCCAAGATGGCCGTCGTAGTAAAGCGCCGCCTTCAGGCTTAGTATCCATATTAATAAGCCCCCTGACTATTATTTCATTAATGATAATGAGTAATGGTATTAACAAATTATTAAACTATCGTAGCCAAAACGAGGCCAAGTGGAGCATTTTATTCAAAAATAAAGTACCAAGGAATGAAAATTAAAATCGTGTACATTACACCCAAACACTGCAACGCTCGAGTTTCAAACATACGGGTAACTGGCTGTACTGAACTTTCTGTGTATATTGAGGGCGCAAACGATGGTGCTTAGGCGAAATTTGATTGGCTAAATCTATGGCAGCCATATTGGATGATACACACGCACAGCTCTGCGTATTTCGAACATCGAATACATTGCGGTTAGCGCTCTAGTATTCTTATTATATCTCTATGGTGATGATACATCAACACTCTTTTCTGATTGAAAAAAAATGGGTTAAATCTAAAGCAAATCTTACATCGCCCTTGCGACTCAACTCAACCGACCTTTTGCAACTTGCCAGCAACTGTGAGTCGTGTGATTTCAGACGATGTGAGCGCTTTGATGGCCAATGCTCCTTTCTGCTAAGCTCCACCCCTTGGATATGGTTGCTAAGGTTCCCACAAAACAGTGTAAAAAAATATGTGCATTTGTGGCACATGCAGGTATTTGTGGTTCTGTTCTGATTGGTCAGTTGGCAAGTTTGACACTCCAAAAAGGTCCATTGCTCATTTTCTGCAAATAAAACCAACTGAATGATCATGTGAAAATAATATTATAAAAACTCTAGCCTATTAACTGGGCATGGCAATGTTTGCCAACGATCAAATTTTTGGAGTGTTACATGCTAACAAGTTTGTAGAAAATCTAGTTGAAAGCGACATCAGCACTCTGGGCAACTAGATGCTTGTAGTAGCAGAATTGCGAGCGACATGTATGATGATGACGGCAACTAGTTGAGTCAAGAAGAAAGGGTGACATAAGCTTAGCTAAAAGAACAAATAAAGAGAATCAATGAGAGTTAAAACCTTATTTTATTATAAACGATAAATTATCACATTTTACAAACCACAAAACAGTTTGGTGAACTCATGTACTACAATAACAGAATATGGAAGATTACGATGGTGTCATCTAAAATAATGTCATACAACATAGTACTGAGATATCGGAATGCATCAACTGTTATAGCGATATTTCTACTCTGGTGTGGGTGGAATTATCTTATATTCATCGTCCTACAGACATGGAAGGAAGGAAGGAAGGAAGACTAATTATCCAGCTGAACAGCTTGTTCCAAACTCTACAGCTTAGAATAACAATGTTTAATATGATCTTAACATATTCAAACAAAATAACAGAATTATTTTTATATCATTGCAAATTATTGTGATGTTGGGGTATTTGACTTTACACTCACTCATAACTTAAAAAGTACCTCTAACAAATAACCTAGAAATTAGCACATTTCACAAACCAAAATATACTACTTGGTAACTCGTACTAACAATGTAATATAAATTACTACACAAAATATGGCACACTTCAATGCTCTTTGTAGTATTGTTATAAAACATAGTACTGAGAAATTATACAAAATCTGATAAGATGGAATGCACATGCCGTATATTGATATTTTTATTCAACCTGTGTGGCTAAAGTTACACTTTTTTTTTTAAATCTTTCTATTGGTGTGGAAGGAAGGAAGACCCTAATTATGCAGCTGAACAACTTGCACTAATTTTCTTAACCTTATGAATTGTTTTTATATTTTTGTACAAATTGTTAAAGCTACTTTGATATCAATGTCGTTGAACAGTATACAGCCTTTGTGACAAGGGCCTCAATCAAATTTTAGATGCTTAAATATCCAGATGGGTTTGAGGTTACCTAGATTGCAAAATATTTTATTTAGGAAGGGAGGGCCACTATTTTTATATTTTCGACAATATTACCAAATTAATTAATATGAGAATTAATATAAGAATTGAATTTTCTTTATACTAAATTTAATTATTATGGGGACAACTTATATGAATTTAACTATATTCAATGTTTGTATATTAAGTACAATTTATACACTTGGAATTTTACAACTGATCTATGATATACACATGATGAATGATTATTCAAATGCATCAATGAATGCGCATTATGAATTAGCAATTAAATAATATCCATTAAAAAATATATTGACTTCAACATAAGAGTATATATAATTATAAGAAGTCTATCATTGTTCTGTTCTGTGGATGCAGCGTACCACATATGTTTTCAGAACAATGCAGTAGCCTTGTCTGTTAGCACATTTAGTTGAGGTAGCTACAGTAAGTATACAGCATTTTCACTTGTGTCCATTTTTTCCCCCAAGATCAGTTCCAAATGAATACACCATGCATGTGGGATTCAAATTAATCTATGTAGCTGATCATACATCACAAGTACTAATGCACTACCCGTACTCTTCAAAAAGTTTGAAACGATTCCCCGAAAAAATGCTTTCACCCCTTCTTCACGATAGATCTTCCGCCAGCAATGCATTGCACTTTTGTAGAGCATCTCAGACTCTGGTCGCCCACTCTGCATCATCATCCTTCTCCGTACTGTATCAAAGGGATAGCTAATCTGGCTGAAAATCATAGCAACCTCAGCAATTGCTAAAGACAACACCACAGAGGACCTTCTGGATGCTGGCAGAGATTCTTTCAGTGTATCATAAATTCCAAAATAAGCTGCCCTGTAAATTACAAATCCATGAATCGCTACTGAGAATCCTCTATAAAATCCAATTACTCCGTCTGTACGAAATATTTTTCGAGCACAGTCAAAAATTCCTGAAAATTCTCGCTCAGTAGCAGTTTTGCCCAGGTCAGCACCGAGTCTAGTCCTTGCAAAATCAAGCGGGTACACAAAGCACATTGCTGTACCACCGGCTGCTCCTCCAGCAGCAAGGTTACCACACAAATATCGGTAGAAATTTTTACTGTAGTTGACACCGTCTAGAAAGATTAGTTTGTATTTATCTTTGAAAGCAAAACCGAGTGCTTGTGCTGGAAAAGACCGAATCACATTTGCTGTGTTACCACGCCAAAGTGAGAAGAAACCTTGCTCCTTGGGAATTCTAATCATACAATCAATAAGTCCCTTGTATCGTTTGTTGGGTGGAATTTCCAGCGTTGGTTGTACCTGTTATGAGAAAAAAAAATACATGAAAGTTGCTGGACATTTTAAGATGTTTAAAACTACATATTTAGTGTTTGAAACCCTGTCCAAAGACTCAAGTTTTATTTGGAAAAAAAATGAGACATGCCAAAATTTGGTAATGATGACATCATGACCATACAGGCACATTATGACTATAGATGTGCATACAACATTTTTTTGTCAAAGAAAATTTGATATCTGGATATAGCTTTACAAGTTGGTTTTGTGGTGCCAAAATTGCTATCTTCAGTATTTCAAAACCAAAAATTGTGATATGATCAATGTTGCGCCTTTTCCTGGTTATTAAGATGCTTTTTAACGATAGTATAGTAATTTACAGAATTGTTTATGATCTGCTTATGGATACCCTGGATTTCGTTTTGATAAAATCGATTAAACTAACCTATAAAGCTCCAAATAACTGAAAAAAAGTGTTATCCCATATTGGGAGATTAGAGCTCAATCATAGCTGATCTTAATCCCATCTGGAAAGAAGGCCCAGGTTCGTCTAGTATTTTAACAGTACACAGGTCTACTTCTATGCTGTAGTCTGTGTTAAAGTAAAAGTTGCAAAATGCCAAGTTAAAAAAAATAGGTTTAAAAAAAAATGAAGGTCATACGTTTTTGGTCGCCAGTATTTTCAGGTCAAGTTGTTGTGCTGTAACAGGAAATTTGATCTACATGGCCAAAATAAGTGAGTTTGAAAGTTACCGCAATGAAAATGTTAAGCAAAGAAGGATTTCACTGTTATTAAGTTAAAAGAATAAGGCTGTGAAATATCGATATATGTCAAAGCAATGAAATAAAAATAGTTTTTACAATGATGATCAGTGTTTTCTCCATGACTCTTCCCGAGGTATCGATCAGTATCCCCTTACTACTCCTATCCCTATCTTTATCTAGCCTGGCCCCAGAGTCCTATAGCCCAGTTAAGTGCATGCTGCATACATTAGGCTTAGGGTACTGAAAACATAATAATATAAAAAATGTCTAACCCACCTGCAACAATAACTGCACTCGTTCAAGGGGAGCCACAGCAACCTTGGCTATGATTGCTGACAGCCCGCCAATAGTAAGGTTTTTAAAGAACGAAGGAACACCGGTCATTGTGGCACAGTGGTGGTGCACAGACGACACATGGTGATCAGGACACTGCATGATCAACAAGGTGTTTATAATATATATACATGTATATATATATTTCAAAACAGGGATGTTTGTTTATAAATCACTGCCTGCCCACCATCCTTCGCTCAGCCTACCTAGGAAACAAGCACAGACCAGCTGTACAGGGCGCACGTATAACATTCAGAACATGGCGTTCGTTTGTGGACGCGGAAGTCGACCAATCAATAACCTTTTTTGTTATTGTTATTCTGTATCTAGAGCACATGGGTTTGTTGACACCGGGATCAAGGTCAGCGCTCCGGCTGCTACGGGTCAATTGATTACTGGTAGTACAGGAGTATAATCAGCTCTAGGCCTATATAGTCCACCAGAAATACGGATTTGACTGGACAAAATTGCAACAAAACGTTTTATGTTCTAAATATAAACTTAATTATATGTAAAACAACATACTAAAAGTTTACCAAAATAGGACGTACATAAAGGTGTTTTTCATAACCAAAAGTTCCGCACTATTTGAAAGTAGACTTTTACACAGTACGTACTGCGGTTTTCAAACTTTTCTTGATTAAGATTGGTCAACATTTAGGTCAACGTAGGTCATATCTGTTTGTTGCCGGCCGGCAGCGTGACCACTGCTTGGGTATTTACCCAAGATCTTGGGTACTTTGACTTGGTCTTGGGTTCTTGGGTATTCCGTTCAAATCCTTGGGTATTTAATTTTTACTAAGAAAATTAAATATTTTTGTCATAGGAACAAAGTATATTTCAGTCCATTCAAGTAAGCAAAACTCAACAAAGTGCACATAACATTGTCATTGACTGTTAATTGCTCATAAACATGGGTTCAGAATTGTTAATTTGTGATCTGCGTTGTCATTGATCTTACCTAATTAATGCATTACATAATAAAACTAGATCACTGATCTACACTGATAACACTGGCCGACTGAGGGCGTATTTTTCTATCCGTATTATTACCTCATGAATATTAATTTTAATAATTAACAAAAATAATTACAATAAAAAATGGTTTATAAATTGAACTAAAAGGGAAACTATACATTCGAGGGACCACCCCCTTAAAATAGTTGGGTACGTGTCGCCTGTCACCCCCGTCCATGCTATTCACCAGAAGACAAGGCATTATACAGTAATTCGGCATCGAATCCTGAATTTACGTGATTTCCAACATTTTCTTTATATGAAGAGAGTAGAATAGTAGGCCTTTCAAATAAATCAATTATCAGTCATTATTATATTTCTTAAAATATCAGCAATTGTTTTACACTATTTGCCAATAAATTTGTTTTATTGTATTGGCTATAAAATTTTATAGCACACACTGGGCAGGCCTAACAATTTGTCAATTAATCGTACCTATCAGTATTTAAGATTAAAATTGAATTATTGTCGTAGAACCATCTACCCTGTGAAATTAAATATTACAGAGGTTACTATCTAACAATTTCAGTTTTACTCCCGTGTTTACATTCTGGGACGTGACGTACGTACAAACTTGCGTACGTACATACGTGTTGCGTAAAGGAGTACGCGCAGACTGTTGAAGGTATGTTAACCAATCAAAGGCTATGTTCAGACACAACGACTTACGCTAGCGTAACGTTAATCGAGTGGTGTGAACTTGTGCGCGGCGTAGCGAACGCCAGTATTATCGCGCAATCACTGGCGTACGGTAATCCAGCAACAGACCCCAGATTAGCGTACGCCACTGATTTACGACAGTCATGCATCGGTGATTTTGAACTCAGCCAAGATTTGACCAATCAAAATAAACCTAGATGTAAACAGAAAATAATGCGCGAATTACGAGTACGAATATTTCGCGCGAATACTTACGCTAGCGTTCATTAATCGCCCAGTCTGGACATCTCGCTAGTTACGCCATGGATTAACGTACGCCCGGCGTTAGATACGCCTGGCGTATCTCACAGGTCTGAACGTAGCCAATAGCGTCAGCGGGAAATCAAATTAAAGCGCTTCGTAACCAAGGCACAGCACACACATCGTAGGCAGAGCGTATAAGCCCAGTGAAATAGTTCAGTTTTCTTTGCTATAAAAATCACCTTTCCCGTGGGTATATTTTGGTAAACTTTTTGTATGTTGTAGATTTAAAATTTAACTATATATATATTCATAAAAAAACGTTTTGTTGCAATTATGTCCAACTTTGGTGCTTCAAATCCGTATTTCTGGTGGACTAATATCATTTCAAATGTCCTGGTTGCAACAGTGAAAAACTGACCGGTGCCTCGTCACTCGTCTTAAAAGTTAACATGCAACTATATCTAATAGTGTAATTTATGAGCATATTAGCTCATGTGATGAAGGCTTTAAGCATAATTATTGGTGAAAAGATTTGACTGATGTTAATAATGATACTATAAATCCATCTATTAATAATTTAGGCCTATATTTCAACAGTACTAGATGATTGATCAGCTCTAACAATTGGAATCTTTCTTTTGTTTAAAGAAGCGTTTGCTATTAGAAAGCACAATCCTATTCTTAACAATGGATTGAAAGCGTCTAAAGAATTATCATTGTCTTAAATTATCTTTGATCTACAGTGTCACACTATCTTGTTATAGCTTAATTGTTCATACCTCTTTGATCTGTACATAATAGGCCTACTTTTACTCTCCACAATTTGATTGGTTATTCTCTGCATAATTGGTAGGCTTGCCTTGCAACTTATAAGTAAGTCTAATTGTGTACATAATTTATTCCTGAGGATGAACTAATAAAGTTCGAAATATAGAATCAATAATGGCTTGTATCACTTTTTTCGGAGTTTGTTTTATAAGTCAAACTTATCGGTGAACCCCACAGTAGTATTTATAAATTACAGTATAATGTCCATATCACAAAATTTAAACAGCCCAACTAACAATTTTACGTTATAAGAACGTACAGTTTGTTGATGTATCCATTCACAACCAGTGAATTCTTGATTGAATGTCTTGAATAACATTGACGTAAATATGAACCTTGACATGTCAATAAATAAACGATATACTCAACTCAAGAAGATTTATACCATTATGTACGTACTTATAACCTAATTTCACAACGTTTGTGTGAAAGTTGTTTTGTGACATACGCCTACCAACCACGTTCGCGAACTTTATAAGAACGTTTTGTGTTTGCTGGGAGGATGTCAGAGGAGAGAATTAATGGAGCGAATTAATAGGGAATGTTGTTCTTTTGTCTTTGCAGTATAGAATTTTTAATATAAAGAATTGCATTTTGCGTACTCCTGATTAAAAACAATAGGGCCTATTATAGTTTTAACAATATCAACACCGTGGTCGTCATTGTCATTGTCATACATCATCACATACCACACCACAAACACCATCATGCAATGGGGTATTTCACTGTATACAGTGCTGCTTCTGTTTACAAAATTTTAACACAAAAGAAAATAATAATAATAATAATAATTATTATTATTATTATTATTATTATTATTATTATTATTATTATTATTAATAATAATAATAATAATAATAAATGTTTGAGATTGTAGATTAATGTTGGACTTCGATTCATACTATTTGATTCAAGACTCAAGATTCAATTTGTGTTCTTTCAGAAAATCACTTGGTACATCACATCGCAATACAGAGTGCAGGATCAATGCAAAACAAAAAACGTATTTGATATTTTGAATAAGAATTCTAATGGGTATAGTGGTACGAATGAATTGAGATATCCATTTGTTCACAGGTTTGTGATTTTAACCTACCCGAGAGTAGCCAAATAAATGCTTTTAGTGGGTGAGAACGGGTCAAACTCGCTAGTCATAAGGTTTGCTATTCATAAGGTTCATTATTCATAAGGTTCGTTATTCATAACATTAGCTTACCCTATACCATAGGGTCGCTATTCATAATGAAGAAAAGGGTTCGCTATTCATAAAAAAAAGGACCGCTATTCATAAGGTTCGCTAGTCATAATCAAGGAAAGGGGTCACTAGTGATAATTTAATAAAAGGACCACAAGGAATAAGGTTCGCTAGTCATAATCAAGAAAAAGGATCCGCTACTCATAATATAATAAAGGGCCATCATTTATAAGGTTTGCTAGTCATAATATAAGAAGAGGTTCCCTATTCATAATAAAAAAAAAAGAAAAGAGGTTCGCTATTGATAATAAAAAAGAGGTTCGCTGACCATGGACCCCAAAACAAAAGCAAAAAAAAAAAAAAAAAAAAAAAAAAAAAAAGGTCCGCATTTAAAAATGAAAAAAAAGGGGGGGGGGTTCGCTATTCATAGTAAAAAAAACTTGGTCGCTATTCATTTCATAAAACAAAACAAAAAACATTCACTAGTTTGTAAATCAATAAAAAAAAAAAAGGTTTTAGTAATATGAAACAGCAAATTATAGTTTAAAAACAGCAATGGTTTACTAGTCTTTAAAAAAAAAGTGTAAAGCTATTTTATAATCCTGCATTTCGTCAATTTCAATTCCACATTACCACTCTCCTGTGCACTCCGCCTGGCACAATATTCCTCATGAAACCACCACCT